TTGCTTAAACGATAGAACATATACATATTATGTTTAGCTTTATTAATGCGTATAGTATCCCATTTAAATATAATAACAATAGCAGTAATAATTGCCAGCTACTAGGATAGGATTTGTACTGGAAATTATTATGAACTTCCATTGCTTCTCAAACTCATCTGTAACATAAAACTACCCTTCGCCTCTGTTGCTTATACTATTTAATTGGAACCTTATTATCAAATATATTATTGCTTTCATCAAAATTAAATAACTTGGGATCTTCCAGATATACTCAATGAGAGATAATTTTCTGTGACAAGTGACTTCGATCCACAATTATCGAAGAGGGAATCAAATGTTGTGATTTTCTTTAAAAGTGTATAAATAGGTATTAATCACCCTTTCCCAAAGTGGGTGATAACGCCCCTTTGTGGGCGCTACAGGCCTAAAGGCGGGCGGTAAGAAACCCAGAAAACAAATGGGGGCATTGTTAGACTGTAGAGGCTTGGGAGGCGATTTGTAATTTCATCTCGGAGGACTCTTAGACACCGACTGAGCTCCCGCTATAGTGGTTTTTAAGTAGGTGAAAACATGGGGGCGCTAAAAAACAATTTATTCTCAAAGTGGGCAGTAGACAAAATAAGTTTGGGAACCCCTGGTATAAATGAAGACACACCGTAACGTCGTAGTATTTATTATCGTCAGTGTACAAAAACGTACGGCGTACCGCGATCTTTGTACACGTTTTATAGTAACGCTACGTTTTACCAAGTTTTCGATATACCGATAATGTCTGTGAGGCCGTTGATCTCGCAACGTAAGTCACAGCAGCAATAACTCTGAGAGATCCACACTGAACAATAAAACATTCTATTTTAGCAACTTAAAATTTATTTATTCTAGATAATAATCTGTCATTCATAGATATCGTGACATTATTTTAATGTTTAAACAAAGAATACAATTCGTTTAGTAACATCGAACCTAAATTTTCATATTATCAATACTCAAATTCGATGGATTACATAAATACTTACTACAGTCAATTTGCTATAGTTTGTTAGAACTCATAAACAATAATTGGTAGATGAGCAACAAGTGTGAATAAAATTTTATTGTACAAATTCAACAGTATTACATTGTGTAATTTGATTACATAATTGTGTAATCTCTCATAATTATAGCCACAAAAAGCCAACTGAAGCCGTGCGCCGTAGTCACTACACACTACTAGACCGCTACCTGCGACCGGCTACAAGGATGTCGAGCGACACTTCAAGGCACGTGGCGACACGTAAGCTACGTACACAAAGCCGACTCTTGCAACAACAAGACCATTATTTATTTTCATACCCGATCCGGTGGACCGAATGGTAAACAGTCGACGTCACCCTAAACATGTCATTACGGATCCTCCCGATCCATTAACGATGCTTTTGGGTACCTCAAGCTCCGGTCACCGTCCTCACCGAACCTGTCGCTTGCGACAAAGGGCTCGACGAGTAAATTAACCCATAGACACAGCCCACTGAGTTTCTCATCGGATCTTCTCAGTGGATCGCGTTTCTGATCCGGTGGTAGATTCTGCGAAGCACTGCACTCGCTAGGGTCAGTGTTAGCAACACTCCCGGTTTGAGCCCCGTGAGCTCATCTACTAGTTCGGTGAATCTAGAATAGCCCCTCGAGGTTACGAGAATAGGTAGAGAAAAAAAACCTATCGAAGGCCCTTCAAAACTTCCTCGACCGCAACAAAATTCAATTTATTTTTTTCCTAAATCGCTCTTGGCATCACACAACATTCTTCCTCAGTTGAGTTGAGAGAGCTATTGTCAAACTCTTGGTACGTTAAAATTTACAATCAGTGCTAATTGTATTGAAGCGATGGTTATATTGTTTCGCCTACCGTCAAGATAATCTCGCGACATAACCGTGTTAAAACTATGAGTATCCTTTTAATTTATTAATAGCTTTTCGAAGAAGGTCCAAAGGCTTCCAGAACACCAGCAATCATTCCGAACAAACAAAAATGTTGATTGTGTCGAGGTCAATTTGTTTCAAAGGAACGTCCTAGAGTATTGTGTGCTTGGTGCGAGTTTCTTAACGTTCTCGATAGCGTAAAAGTTAACTCAAATTTGTATGCAGTTGGAGCGTTTGCCTACGTTTGCCGTTAGGGGCGCTGTTCCAACTGCATACAAATTGGAGTTAACTTTTACGCTATCGAGAACGTTAAGAAACTCGCACTAAGCACACTGAACTGTTTGTTCGAAGTGAAGGAAACACACAGCTCTTCATGTTTGAGTTTAAAATGAAGCGCAAGTGAACACACCCATGCTCTTGGATCCTCGCAGATTCCATAGGCGCGTTTCGCCATCACTCAGAACGCATACTAACAAAGACTAAATATCTAACCGAGAAAAACAAAACTAACTTTTTTTTCTAGCATTTGGAATTATAAAATCCATATTTCAAATGAACGAAACTTTACATATACATACTAACACGCATAGCCACATACATATACCTAACATAATACGTTATGTTTGATATAAACAATTATTTTAATCATAAATGTTTGTAGAAAGGAATTTAAAAATACAAATAAATAATGGTTGTTCAAGCTTAATAGGCGTCCCCTCCTAATTGTTTTATTTTATTTTATTTCGTTATTAGTATCCTGTTACCTTTTACAAAGAAAATAAAAATAATAATCTGCCAACGGCGTCTGTTAAAAGTATCATTTTGAAGATCGTATCAAAATGCTCGCACTTATTTTACATAACATAGTATGTTTTTTTCCCTACCTATTCGTTGGTTGCGTAGGGGGTATTCCAGCGACGCTCAAATAGTTGAGCTCAGAGGCTTAACCTGAGAGAATTTGCTAATACTAGCCCCAGCAAGAGCAGTGCTTCGCAGAATCTGTCATATATAATCTAAATCACCGAATCTAATCACCGATATAGTATGTATGTATGTACTTTGCATTATATAGAGTCTTATTTGATAGGTGTGTACAGTAATGTAAGAACTCATATAACTGAACTCAGCTATATACATTGGCTATTTACTAGAATTACAAAAACAAAAACTCTTTTTAATTGATGAGTTAATGCCAAATACAAGTAATGATGTTTTGAAATGTAATAGTTTTTGATTATTTGAAATATAAATAAACAAATCTATAATTTTTTTCAATTTCTCAAGTTCGTAGTAATTTCATTAAACGATGGATTCACAGACGGTACTCTAACGTGCTTATCAACTATTTTTTATAAATAGATAGCCCATATTAAATGCACATGATGCAAATCATCAAATCATCATCAAAATGCAAATGATAATAACGGCCGTCTGGTGTAGTGGTAAGTAACATGGCCACTACACAAGGGGGTCGCGGGTTCGAATCTCGCCAAGGGAAGTTATTTGTATGATAAATACAAATGTCTTCTCCAGGGTTATGGATGTATATTAAATATACGTATGTGTATAGTAAAAATCTTATATTTATTTCCGTTATCTGGTACCTGTAACACAAGTTCTTTACGAACTTATCACGGGACCAGTTAACGTGACGTGATTGTTAGTAAATATTTATTTATTATTATTGGAACGAAGTTCCTTATCGCGCGTTGTGAAAGGGGGCTAGACGGAAAAAATTCTTACGAAAAGTTGTCACGACACTTTTTAGATCCGTCATTCTGACCAATCAACGTGTAGGCGCTTATCGCGTGACATTGCTCGTATCCGATTGGTCCGCGTAATGAGTACAGTTTCTCGAGATAGCGTTTCAACAATAGTAATTTAGTTCATAGTATTGTTTTTTTCTTCTTCATAATGCCGTAATTTACTATTATAACTTAAAAAAAAAATTACAATTCCTTCACTAATTAATCGAAAGGAACTTCGTTCCATCCGGGTGTCCCTTGACACCTCTGAAGTTTTTATTTATTTATAAATAAAATATTGGTAGCCAATTTATTGAATTTCTAATGGTCGTGTTGTCGAAAAGGTGTTGTGTACGCATTAAATACCAAAACATTAGTTATTAACCGACAGATTCTTATTTGCTTCTTTAATAGGAATAAATAATATTAATATGACATTAGTTAATTTAATCAGTATATTCTTTTAGAAAGTTAACCTTTTAAAGAGTATCTTAGTGAGTACGTTTCAACTAATTTAATTATTGAAGATGAATATAATTGAATAGAATTTAATGAAATCCGCTATGATTTATTATGTTACAGGCATATTTGTTGCCCTAGAACCTCTAAAAGTTTTCATTACAAACATTCACTAAATAAAATACGATAAAAATTATATTTCACTACTTAAACACTAATAAGATCAACAACTATTTCATATTTGATTATAATTTTTTTTTTCAATTTCAATTATAATATGAATAATTTAATTATAGCTTCGTATGATTATAACAATACATTTCTCAAATCTACAACATTGTATACAGGTAAAAGTATATAAAAGGTTCGATTTGTAAAGCTACGCAGATACGTGTGCGTGAGAGAAATTAAGTATCTATTAGCTATTTAGAGATTTCAGAAATTTTATGTCAAATTTCTGAACATCAAGGGTATAATAGAAAATTACGGATAACTCATAGAAACATTGAGTATAATAACAAAAAATTGGACGGTCGCGTTAGTTCACAATAATACAAACGACATAAATAAGTATACTCTGTGCTTAGTGCGAGTTTTTTAACTTCTCGATCGCGTGAAAGTTAACTCAAATTTGTATGGAGTTGGAACAGCGCCCCTAGCGGCAAACGAAGGGAGGCTGAGGAATTTGAGTTAACTTTTACGCGATCGAGAAATTAAAAAACTCGCACTAAACACACTGGATTCAAGCACTCGAAAGGATTCACGATACTTTTCTCATAATGTCACTAATTTCAATCTTGCTATTACGACTTTTATTAATCGCCAGCAATTTGAATGAAAATAAATGAAAATTCCACAGTGTATCAATATTGTATCTAATTATGTGTAGTAATCTCAGGTGTATCTTCTTATGAAAAGGAAAAGTAAAACACTAAAATAAGCATGCTCTAATCAAGTTCATCTAAATTACAGGCAGGAGCGTATTTCGAACATAGATCAGACTTTGTTTATAGTTACAAAATGTTACGAAAAAACGTTTTAAAAATATATATTATATTAAAAAAAATGGTTTTTCTGTCCCATTTCAGTCAGTTATTTGTGCATACCTATTTTTTTATATATTAATTATTCGATAAGATTAAGTCTTGAAGTGTCGCTCAAAATTTTAATTTGACCGTGTAGCCTCCGACAGACATATAAACAAGTGTATAATCATAATGTTTTCTATCATAATGGACCAACCATGGCAGTGAAAGTAGGATCAGCGCGCTCATTGGTCGATTTCCCCACTCTTATATGTCTAGCAGACGCCTTTGGAAACTGAGGTGATATTTCCGAATCACGAAATATGAAACGCATTTCGTCTGTATGATAAAATTATAATGATTATACCGAAAAATTTAGCAAAAACCGTTAATTCGATTAATTCATTATGTTTTACTAAACCAGCGCAATACTATAATGATGAAATATTTTATAGATCTCAAGGAACTTAGATTCGAATTTCGGATATAACACCTTTTATCTTGAGAATGCGACCGATCCCAAAATTGATTCCAATCCTTCATAGAATCAGCGACTCGTTTAAGCGCTTCACTAAAAATAATCACATTCTATTCATCAATATAATATAATAGTTGGAGTAGGTATGTAAAGGTTGCATGAACAATATTGAACGATAAATACCTTTATGTCACAATGTAGCTAGATGTCGCTAGTTTAGCGACGTGTGACGTAATCGCTCTTTCTACGACGGACACGTTCGCCTCTACGCGCTACATTTACTCTGATATGGTCTCAGTCTCAAGACAGTCCATACGTCTGACCTACGATACACTCTCCCTACTCGAGCTAACTGACTTGTGTTCGCCAACGACAGAACATACACATTACTCTACTTCACTGATAAGTTGCGTCATAAACACGCTTAGAACGCTTCCCGAGTATACCTACCGTTTTAGTCAATTCGATCGATTATCGTGTCAGTGGTGTACACAAGTCTCTGATATGTGGGATGATGTGTGTAGTGCCGCGAACCGCCCGCCCCGGTATCGCCCGAACGGTACAAAATTGGAGCGTACCTATATATACGTTTCTTATATACAATGTACAATACGATACGGTAATTACTATAGAGGCTACACGACGATACAGCAACGGGCGGCTAGGCCGAGCCTCACGCGTCAGCATTAACATTCTCACCGTAATATACATCGCAACTCGCTCTATATTATAACAAATACGTCACCACGTTCGAACAAACAACGGTAATGTACGGGCGCGGTTTAATTCGTCGCACGCGGCGCACTCGCCGTTCGAAGCCCACCCCACTGTTAATAATCGAGTTCTCAAAAGAATTAACAAACGAAGGCAAATAAATAGATAACAGGAATAGAGGTCTAATACTTTCTGTTAAATTCATTTAAAAAATGGCGCATCAATTTTCGGCCTTATTACGGAAAAATTAAAATTAATTGTAAAATAATACACGTTGTGTTGTGTCGAAGGTGGGAAACGAAAGGAACAAGTGGTCCGAGTCAAGGAATAAATTGACTATAAAAATTTAGTGTGCTCTCATTATGCGCGCGTCGACGGCGGCGAGAAGATATCCGCCGAACGCCACGCCTCCGCCTCCGCTTCCGCGTCGTATTGCTGCAGGAACGGATTCGTTGAAGAATCGTACCGCGGGCTCAGCGCTGAATTGAGTGTGACGGCGAGCCCCGCTGACGTGCCGGGTATGGCGGGGGCCGACGGAGCTGAGGCCGTGAGACGCGGTGAGGCGGTGCGCGGAGACTCTCTGGGCGACGCACGCGGCGACGCTCGCGGAGAGCTGCGCGGTGATGCACGCGACGGCGACTGACGTTCCGGCTGACGCAAGATAGACGACACCGAGCCACCGTGCTTGATCGTGTCGGCGGGACTGTGACTGCCCGAGCTAGTGCTGGACCCGGGCGATGAAGCCGTCGCAGAGCGCGCCCGCGGCGGTGCGGGCAGCGGACCTCGGAGCGGCGACTGCGGACGATATTGGCCGCCCCTGACTGATGAGAGAACCTGTCCGCCACATAATTATGTTTTTTTTATTGCTTAGATAGGTAGACGAGCTCACAGCCCACCTGGTGTTAAGTAGTTACTGGAGCCCATAGACATCTACAACGTAAATGTGCCACCCACCATGAGATATAAGTTCTAAGTATAGTTACAATGGCTACCCCACCCTTCAAACCGAAACGCATTACTGCTTCACGGCAGAAATAGGCAGGGTGGTGGTACCTACCCGTGCGGACTCACAAGAAGTCCTACCACCAGTAATTACGCAAATTATAAACTTCGGGTTTGATTTTTATTACACGATGTTATTCCTTCACTGTGGAAGTCAATCGTGAACATTTGTTAAGTACGTATTTCATTAGAAAAATTGGTACCCGCCTGCGGGATTCGAACACCGTTGCATCGCTCGAAACGAATGCACCGGACGTCTTATCCTTTAGGCCACGACGACTAGAAAAGTTAAGTGTTTCAATCATTGTTTTACGCAGTTACTGTGATAATGTTATAGAAATGCATACATGTGCGGGCGGCGAGCGGTCGGGCACGGGCCGACCCGATAGAGCTGGCGGCGGAGATGCTGCTGATGCTGCCGCTTGAGGCCGAAATGGACTGACTGAGGACTGAGCTCGGCCTGCGTGTAATACTTTAAATTTTAAGGAATATTCTTAGTTTTTGGAACGAAGTTCCTTATGGGACGATGCGGAGGGGTAACCGGGAAAAAACGTCCGTAACATAAGATTTTTATTATTTATGTATAGTCTACGTGATGACGATTATTATTATTATTCATATAAATAGCTGTTTCTTTGTATATTATTATTATGTTTTTTTTATAAATCATTGTGAATAAAATAAAGTAGATAACTTTGTAAAGTACTTTTTTTTATCAATAAAAAAATCATAATACCCGAATAATTATTATCTTTATACCTCGAATAGAACTTAAAATTAATATTTTTACAATGAAGAACTTCGTTCCTATCCGGTGTCCCACGACACCACACATCTCTTTTTTTTAAATCTGATTCGTTTCTCTAGGTCACCTGGGTGGAGCGTGTGTGAGCCCGCTGGCGACGCACTGACTCTGTTTCCACGCGGCCCGATTACTGGCTCGCCGCGCCGAACTGTCTACAAACATACATGCGTTAAGGTGCCGCTTAGCTTCCAAAACAGTTTTTACTACAAAACCAGGAGTTTCAATTAATACTAATATAACCAAGAATTTTAAATGAACCATCTATACTAACTAGAGGTCCCGCAGTAGTAGAAATTCGACTAAAATTAATTGGAATTGTAAGTTTGTACACTATTACGATTGTATTTTCAACGCCAAGACTACACTATAGAAAAATATTAATAAAGACAAACAATATTTAATCTATTCTCAATTTGACCACAGACGTCAAGAAAAAAAGTTTGACAATAAATAAATAGTATGCATACGTGTGTGTGTCAAATACATGGTAGTGTGTGTAATGTTTTCTTTATTGATTTAATGTACCTTTTATACATTATTTAAAAAAAAAATTAGCATTGTGCACTTCTTCTCTATAGTCTCCATTAGTGTGGAAAATTTCATACTCCTTCGTCCGCGCAATTTTCGCAATAAAAACGGATACAAAGTTTTTGCTTCACGTATTAATATATAAATTTACAGTGGTTTTTACGGATGTTCCATTTTAACTACTGAACCATGCATCTGATTGACTTGAAACTTGGTATCCATGTAGAAAGTACATGTACTTAATAATGAGAAGGCGTTAATAATGAGAATCTTTGTGGGGGTGAGAAATAAAGATGTTCATTTTAAATGCCCAGCGAAGCGAACGGTTACAGCTAGTTATACAATAAATGCATTTTTCATTTTAAAAAAAAGCTATAAACAATTTTTTTGGAAATATCAGTGAATAATTAATAGGTATGAATTAGTGGATGACATTACCTGAACGCTTAGGTGGAGGCCAAATCTGTAATAGACATTGGAGTACATGGATGGGTCTTTGATAGTCCAATTCGCCAGGAGGCGACGAATGTAGCATTAAAGGTGGAGCCAGAGCTACGGCGAGATGCTGCGGCGACATCTTGTTGCGGTCTTGTGCAGCTACCACTAGGGCCAGGTGGTCTAACAGGAATACCAAAGTGGCTCTCGCGGCCCTCGGCAAGCATTCCACTATGGAGGCCATTAGACGAGCGTTTCCTTCCCTGTCGTCGGGGAGACATACTCCTGGAAATCGATAACTCTATCATAAAAATCAGGGAATATTGTTATTGTGTACCTCATAAAAAAGCTATGTATACTATTATACTAGTGTTATAAATCTTTGTAGGTGTTTGTATATTAATAGACTTAAATAAAAAATATTATTATTTATTATTTACTGTCAAAATGAATGGCTCACATCTATTATAAACTACATTTTATCTCTCATCGTTAAAATAGTTACAATATTATCAATAGATTTTTATCAGTTTTTTTGAAAAAACTAGCCAGAATTCTAGTGTTCGAAACGGGAGCTTAATTGTTTTCTAAAAAATGTAATTTGATTGTTCCATTTTAGTCTCTTGTGTGTTAAGCTTAAAAAAATATTTTTTCTTAGAATTGGTTGAGTGGTTTCTCTGTGATCACGAAAAAGATAAGCAAACAAACAAAATCTGTCGATTTTAAAAATATTAATCAAACAAATCTTATGTTCTTTTTAATTCCGCATTCGGATTACCTTTTTTTTAAATTTGTATTTAAATAAAAATAAATTTGCCACAAAAAATGTACGTTTAATTATACTTACCTAAAGCATCTAATGTCATTTGGAACAGGCATCGACTGAACAGGGGTTGAGGCAATTCGCGAAGGTAATCTTTCAGGACGCCTGTTATGACATTTATATCCGGAACAGCCTCAGGCGTGAGTTCCACGGTACGGGCGTTCCGTTCAAACCCTTCCCGAAGCACACGCTTCTTACTGGCCGCTCCACATAAACGATAAAGACCTAAATAAATAAATAAATACAATATTAATTATTCATTGTTCCGACAAATGAAACGTTAAGCTGTACAAGGGCACATGAAATACCAGCGTGAATGCCGCTACGGACTTTATGGTACGAGTTATAAGTCTCAAAGGCTTTCTGTTTTTTAAGTTGGACGGTACGGCACTTCACGACCCAAATAGACACGACGGCTGTACTTACCTGTACAGGCTCGCAATATACTTTACTGGAACAATGTAAATGTCTGAATAGTCCAAAATTATAGACCATAAATTTCTTTAAATCGGAGATATCGGATATTTTAAAATTACAATTAGACGACCACTCAACTATTCTTCTATTCCTCATTACTAACTATATATATTCCACGACTTGGAATATGTATATCACCAAATAAATATTAAAAAAAAAACGGTTTTGGTGCAACATAATCATTGGTAAATCAATAATTAGCAGCATTTTACGATGTTATTTGTGGGCTACGGAAAGCACTAAAGATTCAAGTTAGGGGTAGCCCACTGAGTTTCTCGCCGGATCTTCTCAGTGGGTTGCGTTTCCGATCCGATGGTAGATTCTGCGAAGGCACGGCTCTTGCTAGGATTCGTGTTAGCAACGTCATCAGGTTTGAGCCCCGTGAGCTCACCTACTAGTTAAGGCAACGCTGATATAGCCTCTCAAAGCTATCAGCTTAGGTAGGAAAAAAAAATCAAGTTAGACAAAAAAAGCCATGGTTTCAAACCTATGATATCAAGTCCTCGTCTCTCGATTTCCTCAACGCATCGTCGGACGATGAGAGGTACGGGCGGCGCGTTAGGAGGGCGGATCTCCCGCGCCACCACCGCCTCCAGCTCCGAACCGAACAGCGGAGGAGGAGACACGCGACCTTGAGTCGGGCGTCGTCGGAACAGCTCATGAGGCTCCGTGTGCCGTATCCTCACGTACAATGTACCGCGTGGCTCCAACTAAGCAAAATTAAAAAGTATTTAGTTTACCTTAGTTTCCCTAGAACTAGAGAGAATAGCTGTGTGTCTAACTGTCCCTTTACCGGTGCACTTAACCAACGATGACCACACACAGGCCGATGGGTTGTTCGTGCACCCATCTGCCTTCGAAAGAAAATCTAAGCCGAACATAGCTTTTTTTTTATTGCGTAGATGTGAGGACGAGCTCACAGCCCACCTGGAGCTAAGCGGTTACTGGAGCCCATAGATAGACAGCTACAACCTAAATGCGCTTCTAAGGTCTCAGTATAGTTACAACGACTGCCTCACCCTTCAAACCGAAACGCATTACTGCTTCACGGCAGAAATAGGCAGGGTGGTGGTACGTACGCGTGCGAACTCACAAGAGGTCCTACCACCAGTAAATGATATTTATGCCAGCAGTCCTTGATATATTATAAAATGGCTTACCTTGATTGCAAGTTGGTGCATTGCAGATCGAGCAACTAAGTCAGGTAGCGTTATGACACCTCTATAACACAACTTGTGCCTGTGTTGGGGATCCCATGAGTACACCAGTACATCCAATTGTCTGTTATCAACTAACTCTAGGTCGAAGGCCTCATCCCAATCGAAGTCCAATTCGCTGTTACGAATCTAAAGCAAAACATTGACTAGTTTCAAACATTGTAAGCGACGCTAGATTTTTTTCCTTCTAAAATTCAATTTGTAAAAATAAAATTTTTTAAATTGTTTGAGTGTTTTATGTATCTGGTTTAACTCAAACTTTTTACAGTTATTGTTGACAATTTAGAGAAAGTTTTTACGATTGCATCAAAAATGCCGATTACAAGTGTATTTCAAACGATGGGTTTAAGACACAGTGGACCGAGTTTGACTATCGCTAAATAACTACTTAATATAAAACAAAATCGCTGTCTCTGTCCCTATATCCCTATGTATGCTTAAATCTTTAAAACTACGCAACGGATTTTGATGCGGTTTTTTGTATTAGATAGAGTGATTGACGAGGAAGGTTTTTATGTATAATAGCATCCATTAAATAGTGGAGAAATTAATAATAAATTACAGTTTCCGAAGCGAAGCGAGGGCGGGTCGCTAGTATATTAATGAAATATTATTATAGTTCGTGATAATCATAGTGTAATGTGACTGAATTTGCTTTGATAATACATTAAAATTAGATTTTATTTACCACTGTACGAGCTTTGTGTACTCGATCACATTCGAGAACGCAGTACAAGTCACGTGTTGCAACTGGGGGATGAACCGACATGATAGGCCCAGAAGGCGGCGATCCCGGGGACGAGCCTGATGCTCCCGCCGGGCGCAACCCCCTCCCTGACAGGAGGTGTATCCACAGCATGCCTGACACACCACCCGACAGGCGTGACAGGCCAGTCATTGATGCCGACAAACCACCACCAGTCATCTTATCCACTTTGTATTTAAGGAAGTCTGCAATTTAAAATTGTCTGTCATTATTTCAGTGCCTAAGGTTCATTCACAGCATGGCCCATATTGTGACAAGTCACATGTATCATATGTATGAATTTTATTGTTTAAAATCTGATTTATCGTACCGTTCAATTCACGCTTCAAATAACGCATGACTACATCAACATAAAAACAGCAGCTAATTTTTTAGTATCTCTTTATTTCTTTTAGATAATCAATCAATTGGTACAACAAGTGCATCGCACGTTATTTCAGAAATAAATTTCGATGATTGTTACAATATTATACTCGTTTATTATTTTACGATTTACTAATTTTAGGATTTTATTATGGTTCATGAATCATTTAAAATTTTAAGGGAAGTTGATTCATTCTATCTGTGTTATAAAATAAATCATGATCGCGTATAATTACCACTAGGATTGATATCGAGTGGTCTCTGGTGCCTTGAACCAGGGGTCGGTACCGGACTGGGATTCGGACACGTGAACCGCGAGCCCAGTTCCAATAGCTGACGGACTCGTCGAGTGGAAGGCGAACCTCCCGGCCCACCGCCTAACTGTTGCGTCGCTCCCAGCTGCTGCGAGGATACCGATCGCGCTGGCAAGTGCCTGGGACGCTCAATGCGACGCCCCGCTAAGCCTAATGATGATCCGAAACGACTAGCGTTTTCCATCTGTAAGTTAGAAGAAATTAATAACAATCAACTCAGTATTGAGCACACTATATTTTTATTGAATTAAATTCATAGAGAACTAAATCTATCTATATATCTTCTATATATATAAAAATGAATTGCTGTTCGTTAGTCTCACTAAAACTCGAGAACGGCCGGACCGATTTGGCTAATTTTGGTCTTGAATTATTTGTGGAGGTCCAAAGAAGGTTTAAAAGGTAAGTAAATATGAAAATGCTCGGAATTAAATAAAAATAACAATTTTGTTTTTCCTTTGATGTGTCTCCCGTCGGACGGATTCCTTTTGTTTGTTTTAAGTTTATTTTATACAAAAGTTTAGGTCTTTTTTTATCGATTGAGGCACTACGAAGTCTGCCGGTTCAGCTAGTCATAAATGTATATTATAAAATAATTTTACTTCATAATAAGTCATAACGTTAAGGCGTACATTTTTGAGCGCATCGTGTATATTTTCTGCTGAATAGTGAGTAGGTAGACGTGGACGCAGAGTTTCGTAAAGTGCACTAGTAGAAGGGGCTCGAGAAAGCCAAGCTCTGTATTCGTCCGACGTGAACACTGACGGCGAAGAAGGTAGACGACCTGTCAAAAAAAAAGAAGGATATATGTATAAATCTGATAGGTTCAGAGAATAAATTAAATATACAATATGTACCTCTTGAAGAACGAAGATCGAGTCGTGAAGATAGGGGTTCTGGTTCATCTTGAAGGACACTTCCGGTACGTCTTGTCAACCCCAACCTTAATATTGAAAAATGTATAGAGTGATATAAGTGTCGTACTAATAATCAAAGCGAAAATATAATTTACCTTTGTCCGGTGTTTCGCACATCCCTGGGCAGTGAATTAAACTTTGAAGTAATGTCCCTTCCTAATGTGCTACTTCTGTATCCACTTAAACCAGAATAATATGGAGGTCGAGTTGGTGCCGTAGCCTCTGTATCGGATGAATAATCTAAGCTTCGATTTCTCCTCGCTGTACCAAATTTACTACTATATGATGGAAGTCCTAATCCAGTCGTCCCGTAACCTCCACCCAATGTAGATCCTAAGCCAGTACCAGACAAGCCGGTCCCTAATCCCGAGCCAGTTAGTCCAGGTCCCACGAGACTAGATCCAGTAAGAGCACTGAGGCCCGTACTAGATAAGCCAGATGGTAATCCTGGACCCCCTAATCCAGTAGACGTTAATCCAGTGTTTGCCAGACCACTGCTTGTTATTCCAGATCCTGGCATGCCAACGCCACCATAACGATGGTTATATCTTGACAGGCTTGATGCTGTAGAATAATAAGAACTGATTAGAGCACAATCTCTTTGTGAGTGGAGATTAGATAGTCTAATACTGAGAATACATTTGTATGGATCAGCTTGTTAGACCACTAAAGTGGCGGATGAAAGGCGATTGCATGCAGCAGAGATGCGAATGTTGCGATAGATGTGTGGAGTAACAAGAATGGATAGAATACGGAATAAATATGTTAGAGGAAGTCTGTAAGTGGCACCTGTGACAGAGAAGCTGAGAAGTGCGCGTTTGGGATGGTAATATAAACATGTGATGAGACGAAATGAAAATGAAGTTGGTAAGAAAATGTTAACTATGAATGTGGAAGGATATGGAGGAAGAGGTAGACCTAAGAAGAAATGGATGGATTGCGTGAAAGACGATATGGGTAAGAGGGGAGTGAGCGAAGAAATGGTATATGATAGAGGAGTATGAAAGGAGAAAACATGTTGCGGCGACCCCAGATAACTGGGAAAAGGGCAGGATAATGATGATGACATTTGAAACGTACCACCACCAGTGGCTGTCGACGCCTTTAAGCTTGATCTTAGCAACGAATGCCGCCCAAAATCTGAGTGCGTTTCCGCACGCGGCAACTGCTGCTCTGACCCAGACCTCGGAACTCTGCCCCCAAAGCGTGTACTGAAATAAAACACATGTAAAGATCATGCTGCATATATGACTATATTGGAATTTAATGTGTCGTAATTTAAATTGAATACATACCTTCCACTTTCCGGTGGATAGTACGAGTGAACTTTTTCTGCAAGACTATCAAGCGTATTAGGATACGAACGTTCGTATGGTACAAAATGTGTGGCTGATGATTTAGGTTGTTCTGTTATTACTGGTGGTGGCGGGCGGTAACTGAAAATAAAAAGGTCAGTAATTTATTTTTAACATTCGGTTACTTTATAATCAAACTAGAATTTGGAAAAATAGGTTTCAATTGCAGTTTACTTTACATTATTTTAACGTAAAGCTTAATACTGTTTATCGCTCGTTTTTGAAATATTCTTAATGCGTCTCGCCTAATTCGTCTTTATTACAGTCTACTACTATTAATACCTTTTACAGAAAAAAAAGTTGTTGGTTGTTTCATAAAATACATAAAAAATATAAATATATCATGACATCATACATCATATTATACTTTATTGTTTTCGTGTTCTCCACCATTGAATCTCGATTTGGCTTCATTCGGATCGATTGTATTTTATACGAAACTTAATTGAAAAATACAATCTATACAAATAAATAAAATTGGAATATATGTTTGTAATAATATAATAACCAATTTTTACTAAATGCGTAATTATGTAATATATATACCACAGTACATAAACCAAAATATTTTTATTTTTTATTTTTGTTTGTCTGTCTGTCTGTTTGTTCCAGCTAATCTCTGGAACGGCTGGACTGATTTTAACGAGACTTTTTTTAGACTAGGCTTCACCCGCGGTACGATAATAACCGCGGGTAACATCGCGGGTCTCAGCTATCAATAATAAAATTTAATGTTTCCGAAGCGAAGCGAGAGTGGATCACTAGTATTTGATAAATTTTATAATCACCTCCAAGTAGAATGATCAGACGGCGGTCTAGGATTGTAATACAGGTCAAGTGCTGCAGAATCCGGGGACAGTGCACCGAGCTGGAGGCGACTCCTCTCTTCCCTGCCATCGCCAACTGGACGCACTGCATTACCATGTCCGCCTGTAGATCGGAGTGTGCCATGTCTGTAATAAGAGTTATTATGATTAAATAACAGCTCGAATCATGAAATCGAAAGGAATAAAATTGCTAATAGATAAAGATTATCTTCTATAGTCTCTTCAATTATAAAAAGCCTAAAAGTAAATTGTTCTTGGTGTACCGATTATATTCGTAGATAATATAATTATTCCAGTACCAAAAAGATAAAATAGTAACGTTGTTGGTATAGGAAGGTCTTGCATAAGTTTGGTAAATTTGGATGAAGAAGTAGTCTACTCAAAAAAGAAAAACACTAATCTAACGACGAAATAATAAATGAAAAGGAATCAGCAGTGACAAAAAATTGAACCATAGGGCATAAAAATTGGCAGACGTATCTTCCCTCAAGACGTGTCTAACAGCATTCGAAAGATACCACTAAAGCTTGAACTTAAACACCCAAAAAAATTCGAAATTAACATGCCGTATTCTAACTATTAGGGGTAATTAATTACGACGAAATATACCTAGTATTTCAATTTAAACGACCATTTACTTACTGCGAATAAAGTCCGTCAACGCGATCTCGATCTCTTTCCCTTTCCCTGTCTTCATCGTCACGACAGTCCCGCTTGAGAACAACGACGGGCGGCGGCTTGTGCTCCGATCGTGGTAGTGACGGCGAACCCGGGCCAGATTTCCCTGAAACATTGATTTTATTAGAGCGGACTTATTATGAAAAATTTTCAGCTGAAATTACCATGATGCGTTCTAATTCTATTCATGGCATAGGTAATAAAAAAAATACAATTTGCAGTATTTTTATTTGTTTTTGAGGCCTATAAATTAACTCGTAGATTTAGAAATATTGTATATTGTAAAATACCTTAATAATTCCATAGAACTATAATATAACAAACAGTAATATGCTAACTGTTCAGTAACTAGAATCAATCACTAGGTATGGGTTTCCTGTATCTATTTTTTTAATTGCTTAGATGGGTTGACGAGCTCACAGCCCACCTGGTGTTAAGTGATTACTGGAGCCCATAGACATCTACAACGTCAATGCGCCACCCACCTTGAGACATATTATAAGTTATAAGGTCTCAGTATAGTATCAAACTGTTCAGTAACTAGAATCAATCACTTGGTATGGGTTTCCTGTATCTATTTTTTTAATTGCTTAGATGGGTTGACGAGCTCACAGCCCACCTGTTGTTAAGTGATTACTGGAGCCCATAGACATCTACAACGTCAATGCGCCACCCACCTTGAGACATAAGTTATAAGGTCTCAGTATAGTATCAACCGTGCCCTACCCTTCAAGCCGAAACGCATTACTGCTTCACGGCAGAAATAGGCAGAGTGGTGGTACCCGTGCGGACTCACAAGAGGTCCTACTACTAGTAATTACGCAAATTATAATTTTGCGGGTTTGATTTTTATTACACGATGTTTTTCCTTCACAGTGGAAGTCCGTCGTGATCATTTTCTGAGTACATATTTCATTACAAAAATTGGTACCCGCCTGGGATTCGAACACCGGTGTACGTCTCAATACGAATGCACCGGACGTCTTATCTTTCAGGCCACGACGACTTCAATGTGTGTATGTGTGTATTCAGATGCACACGCGCCCATATTTATGCGACTTAAGTCTAATGAACAATGAGTAAAACAAACAAAAAATATCTATACGTACATAAAACACAGAACTAACCTTTTCTCTGTCTCGTGCACAGCAACAATCTTCTAGGTATCGACATAATAATAACGACATCATCCAATGACATTCGTCTCACATCAACTAGGTTCACCGCAAGTATCTCGTCTCCAACCTTCAAACAACCACTGTTGTACACTGCTGACTCCAACGCTATTCGTGAAATGAACACCCCATCAGTTCTTGTTCCACCGTCTCCTTCTCTGATGTACAGTCCAAGGGTTTGACCTGGACGTTTCACAATCTCCACAAGTTGAACTACATGACGCGTGTCCTAGAACAAATATGTGTCATAAGTCCTTCGACTGGTATATCTCTGTAGACAATTTGGCCAATGACACAAAAGATAGGGTCGATCTGGTTAATATCGTTTCTTCCGGAAAGGCTTTGGACGATGAAGGAGCTACATTAATACTTTCGACTTCAGACCTGTCCCACCGTTTGAGGAATATCAATAAGTTCAGTATTCGACCGTACTACCATTTCGTAACAGAATGAAAAATAAGGACACGCTGCGTTGACTCCACATAGTGAGATAAGAGCTAGAAGAAGAAGCTAGGAGCTACTAGAAGAAGAAAATATGAGCTATTGCTATTTATTGATATTGTTTGAAAGTAAAATAACGCTAACTAGGTGGATCTATCGAATAGCAGGCTGGCAGCATTAATAGTTTTCGACATTATGGATATCGATCTCTTGTTCAATGTTCACTCCTTGATGCCACTTAAGGAGAACCAGCTTATCGAGAAGTTACGGTTACGGTTTTCGCCGTGGATGTTCAAGTGCTGATCTATTTGTGTACATCATATTACTGGGGGCAGCCTTGAGAGGAGAACATGAACGAAGATCTGGCCAGGGGTATCAAAACGGTGAAATCTTTCGATAGGATCTAACATAGCTCTCCTTTAATGAAGCTAACATCCTTCAGAGTGGCGAAAGCTGAAATATTGATGAATATAAAGTACATTGCGTTGCAGATAAAACTACGAGATACGTAATAAAGTAAATGAAACAAAATCTCCGTACAAAATTTTAGTATACCAATTAGTTTGGTTATTTTACTCCATAAAAATCACAACTAGTACATCAACAATTATAGTCTTATTGTGAGTGAAATGGGAAACTATCGTTCACAGATTCCTCGATAGACCACAGAAATTTCTACCCATGTTATACAAATCGTAGACCGATATAGTACTGCATATTCCAACAATGCCAGTGTAAATTGCGTTCGCGTTCCCCGTTATCTAGGCCATACTCGAACAATAGAGTTCAGTGGTTCTTTCACAGTCAACGCTGTACGGGTAGCGAGATGAGTACCATTGTAAACGGGTCAATGGAGCACAGAAAATTACCTGATAGATGCGGCTTATACCGGAAAAATTGGTGGTAAATCAAAAACATTTTTTTTGAACAGTGATAAAACTGAGGAATTGTTAAAATATATATTTTTTATTGCTTAGTAGTTACTGGAGCCCATAGACATCTAAAACGTAAATGCGCCATCCACCTTGAGATATAAGTTCTAAGGTCTCAGTATAGTTACAGCGGCTACCGCACCCTTCAAACCGAAACGCATTACTGCTTCACGGCAGAAATAGGCGGCCGTGTAGGTAAAATACAAAAATTCTTACTCAAAATATTGTTAGTCTGAGCTTACGTCAAGAATTTCCTTTATTACCGTCTAAATTGCAACACGTTTACCTGTAATGCGAAGAATTTCTTAGCGGCTTCAATATTGTTTCGACCAACTTGTCTCAATTCGAGAATTCTCACGATCATCTCGCCACGGCGCTCCACCGCCTGAAAGTTAAGTTATTTCGTCATCGAAATTCCCGAAACATGAACCTTTGGATACATTCCATGAACGAAATTTCCTAAATCCAACTTTATTACGATGTGTGTATTAAAATTTATAATGTAAGAGCGATGCTACCTACATTCCGCCGCAGCTAAGTTAATTAATTTGATGTTCTTCTCACTATCAACTAAAAAAACTATACTTTAATTATTTCCTAAGAATACGCCATATATTTAGTTCATAACAATTTGAAAACATTTAATTAACCCGCAATGTTTAAGTAAACAGAATAAATAACACGACTATCTTTATGAAAGAAACAAAATCCACTGGCTATTCCTAAAATTTGCATCTTTGTGTATTTAACACATAAACCTGTTACATTGGATACCTAGTTAGCTATTGAACCTATTTATTCTTATTCTACAATAAAACCATCATTAGGATTCCGACTACGAAAGAATAACGGGGTAATTTACCTCGAGCGCCACGGCGGTGGTAGAATCGTGATCGTTTTCAACCATTTCAATCTGCCTGAATATTTCATTGCTAACTCCGGATACCTGAAATTTAAATGGAGTTAGATAAAATTTGGAACATTTTACACCGGTATATTTAGAATTGAGGACGAACTAAGACGCCAACAGTCATCTAAAAAGATTTTTTTGTTCGAAATAGACTGCGGCGTTATTGTCGATTTGTTTTTGGAGAAATGTTTACCCTCTGCTTGATCTTTGAAATGATATTACTCGTGATTTTGTTGGTAAGAGGGCATTCTTTACTCACTAGGGTTAAGTTTGCCTAATAGGCATGTCCTATATATCACTTTCCGGTTGAGGATGAATTAATTTGTGCCGATCGAATATAAGTTTCATCAGATTAACCAGCCAAAACGTCAACTCCACTGTGTCGAAACACAATAATTCAGACGCATAGGTTGGTTTGAAGATTTGCCCTAAACACGTTGTTACGGATCCTCCCAATTCATTAACGGTGCTTTTAGGTACCTCAAGCACCAAGGGTTCGACGAGTAAATTAACCCATAGATACAGCCCACTGAGTTTCTCGCCGGATCTTGTCAGTGGGTCGTGTTTCCGATCCGGTGGTAGATTCTGCGAAGCATTGCTCTTGCTAGGGCCTGTGTTAACAACACTCCGGTTCGAGCCCCGTGTGCTCACCTACACGTCAAGGAGAAGCTGAAATAGCCTCTCAAGGCTATCAGCATAGGTAGGCAAAAAATTGAAGTTTTATAATAAAGAACAACGTAACCACGTAACAACGGAAAAAGGATAGTGCTAGCGAAATCGTACAAGTTGTTACGAAATGGGTATTGACAGACCTTTCTGAAGTCTGGCTGCAGCACACAGGGCGGCGCATGGTTGGCACGGGCCGGTTGCGGCGGACCGGGCGGCGCGCGTCCCGGCGACGCCGTCAAGTCCGGCGCCGCGCGGCCGTTCTCCTGGGTCATAGAAATTGCAGTTCACATTATTGGGTCAGATGAAAAAGTACAAGTAAGTGATAAGTGATATCGGCCTCCCCGAGCTACCAGATAGATCGGACCATATTTTTTATTAGATCCAATCCTAACTGTTGGCAGGAAAAAAAATGACCACGGTATTCCTGGCGACTTTTCGAGTCGCAAGGTAAATTCACCAGATGTATTGCATGAGAATTGAAGCCACCAAACAATCTCTCTTGCTTTTCTACAAGAGCATTTTATTATACACTTGAGACATTGACCTCATGCCTCAATGTGGACAAAGGCGTTGAAATTTCAGTAGATGGATTTCGGTAACTGCTTATACCTACCAGATGAATATGGACTTAGTCTGCTTGCTAAACTGTAGGTTGATTAGGACAATCCTTAATCGAGAATTCATTTTACGGTTTTCAACTATAAAGGCTTCGTCAAACAGAACGCGTAATTGCGCGCGTTAGAGCACTAGCTGACGGCGCGCTATGACGCCGAGATGTGTTGTACTACTACGGTAATATATTGTCAGAGTGCCTGCGCTATAAGTACACAACGCTCTGTCGTGGCGTTAGGACGCTTTGACGTCAGGCGTTGTAATTTTGTACAATTTTTTTTAGCGTCCGAGTGAATTATTAAAATACTGGATAATGCCCGAAAAATTGATAGAATTAGTTAAAAAATACCTAAGGATATACAATGCCACATCTGAATAACTCGACATCTTAATACTGTTAAATTTTCAGACTGCTATAGAAAGGCACTATGGTTTGGCGGATGTTACGTTGCGTCAAGGAGCGTTAGACTCAACTTAGTCAATTTGTGTGACATTAAAACGCAGCGCTAAGTACGCGTTCTGTTTGACGAAGCCTTTATAGTTGAAAACCGTAAAATGAATTCTCGACGGTAGACGGTGGAAGCGGCTCTCGCGCACCTATAACGTACCCTACCATCTACTTTCAAGATAGGTACTAAAGATTCAAGCAGAAAAATAAATATGAATATTATTACTATTACAGATTACAGAACGCCGACTAAACTGCGCTCGATAGGCCGTTGTGTTATTCTTTAAGTATAACCAAAGTTTTATGTTTGGGAAAGTAGAGCTCATTAATAAACAAATTTAGGCACTAGACGACGACGCCACCAGAGGATGCTTATTACGTCTAGTCCCACAGAACACATTCCTTCGATATCTGTCACATGTCAACTAAAGTGCTTGTACGTCCTCAGTATACTTAGTGCGAGTTTTTTAACGTTCCCGATGGTGTAAAGTTAACTCAAAATTGTATGCAGTTGAACAGAGCCCCTAGCGGCAAATGTAGGCAAATGTTCCAACTTCATCCAATTTGAGTTAAATTCTAGGCTGTCGAGAACATTAAAAAACTCGCACAAAGCACATAGGTGCAGTCGAACAGATAATTATCAAAAACAAAAGAAAATCAAGGCCCCAAAAGAAGAAACAGTGCCTTCCTTTTAAGTAAACGGTAAAAACATGTTCTTTTGTATCTCTATCTAAATAATATAGTATAGTATACAATTATAGTATTCGTTGTATATTATATGGTATTTCAAATAAATCGGCTTTAACGCTCTTTACAAGTAAATCATTAATTCTTTTACCGTTAAATCCTTTTGGATTTTATATCCCTGAACAAATATTTACGTGAAAAGATTACAAGTCCGAGAGCACGTCTAACCCTTTTCCATCCACATAAATTACTTTACAACAAGGCTGCGCCGCGGGGTTCCTTCCGCGGTTTTATCAGTTATGTATCATGACAGCATTTGTTGAACACATTTTCAGGTTCAGAACAATAATAACACGTCTTTCATTGCATTGATGTGCTTGAGCGGCTTCACGTGTAGCTTAGAATCGATTCTGATTTCAAATGTCCTACTACTTTAAAATTAAATATTGAAAGCATGTTTCATGTTACGCTAAAAATGTCATGATGTATTGTGACATTTTTATTTAGTTCATAATTAGAAGTTTACATGTAGTCAGACATGTATCTACGATCTAGATATCGAATTATTGTCAATATTTACTTATTTTATTTTGTATATCAGATTTTTTGTTTTGGTTTTAATGTTACTAAAAGTTCGTCAATAGCTACTAAAGAAAAAAGGATATCAGTTAACACGTAGATTAGAAAATGCCGTGCATAGTTTCGTTTTTGCCTATGTAAGCAATCGATTAAGCAACTCAAAATAAAAATCTACACAAAAACAATAACTTCTATTTTTGTATGAAAAAAGAACCCCAAAAGCTCACATATCAAAGGCAAATCACCTCTCAGTCGAGTCCGTGAAAGCCTTCGATCATAAATAAAGGCTCCGAACGATTTCGAAGGTTCAAGGGATTTTTGTTTCTGCTTTTGGCGGTCGATCGAGAGCCGACGGGCGGGGCTCGCTACGGGCCATGACCTACTTACGCTTCCACCCTCTCGCGTACACACGAGGTCACTGTACTGCAGCTGCAGCCCCCCAATACCGCAGGGTGAGCGGACTCGGCGTGAATGTCCAAGCTACAAATGTAAAGCGCGCCAAACTCGTTGCCGCATACCTCATTGTAGTAGTCTTTTGGAATACCATTAACAATTTTCATGAATAAATCCATTAAAACAATTGTCGTTCATTACGAACAATTATGACCGAGGTAAATATATTCTAATGTGTTAAGTTTTATTCCTGTTATAACTATTTTAACTCATCTGCATAAAATTTTCTATTGAAAAATAAACTTTAAAAAGTCACAGTTGAAATGTAAATGTGATATAATAAAAAAGTATACAAAAATATTAAAAAATCTTATGACACGTAATTTTCTACATAAGAATGAAAACGATTGTAAAACCCGAAATGATTTTGGTTATAAACCATGTTGTTTGTTTACTATAAGATTTCGATAAAATATTGTAGGTTGTTATTTAAGTGGGCAATGTTCAAATAAGAATAATTTTAATATTAATTTGACAAGTCAGGGTAATTTTTTCAATAAATTTTCACATCTTCACAATTCAACTTTCACTTCACGCACATTAAGCACAGATTCCACATTAAGCTTTACAATGCGAATGACGACTTTAATTTTGATTAAAAAATATTTTGTCGGCTGGGAATTAAATTAAATTTGGATTCGGAATTTCAGGTGTTTTTGCTTAAAACTATTTGCATTAGTTATGTATGGACTTCTTAAGATTTCCTAAGATTTCCAGTGTCCAGCTCCATATATTGGTTTCAGTGTTCAAAGTAGTAAAAAATAAAAAAAGATATCATGAAAAACCCTTAAAAAGTAATTTCAGAATGCATATTATTATCTCACTTCCGTTGTTTTAAACGCAACTATCTTTCCACGGGCAACCTCGTGTTTCTATTTTCGCTATCAAAGCAATATGTACATTGCTGCGAGAAAATAAGATGCAATTTAGCATACAAAGCGATTTTAAGTCCTGCCTCTACTCTACACACCATATTAGAACAGTAAGAGCTATATACTTATATAATACGTATACTTATATACATAGATACACTTTGCTTATACAAGAACATTAAGATTTTGAGCCACAAATAAGTTTGCGCAGCGAATCGCGTAATTTTTAGCTATTAAGTTTCTTTAGGGAATATATTGATCAAAAATTTAATTTACAGGAATTACTCTAAATTATTATTTATCCAATAATAATGCTTTACAGTAATTATGCAATCTGGCCTGTAATTTTTAGCCTCGGACAAATCAAATGTCATGTCTGGGCAATGCTGTCTTTAATAAACAGTATTATAATGGTATATTGGAAAACCGTTAAATTATACAATTGAGTATCAAACTTTGTTTTTTTAATTGATCTAATAGGCAGACGAGCATACGGCCCACCTGATGATGAGTGGCTGCCGTCATTCATGGGCGTCAGCAATGCCAGGAGCAAAGCAAAGCCGCTGCCTACCGCTTAATACTCTCAACAAGATTCGTTTGAAGAAGGACATGTCATATTTTTTTTTTATTGCTTAGATGGGTGGACGAGCTCACAGCCCACCTGGTGTTAAGTGGTTACTGGAGCCCATAGACATCTACAACGTAAATGCGCCACCCACCTGGAGATATAAGTTCTAAGGTCTCAGTAAAGTTACAACGGCTGTCCCACCCTTCAAACCGTAACGCATTACTGCTTCACGGCAGAAGTGGCAGGGTGGTGGAACCTACTCGCGCGGACTCACAAGAGGTCCTACCACCAGTAAAAATATCATAAAATATATCATAGCGCTCGGGAAACGCCGTAGAAGGGAGTTTATTTCAAAGCCGGATGGTGCGTGGCAGAAAAGATCTCTGGAAGCGCACTCTGCATGAACGCAGTGGTTCTAGGTGGTATGGATGGACTCTATTCAAATGGCGGGTGGTGCGATGGTAGAAACGAGATGACGGAATCATCTCAAATCGCATTCTCATTATGTCTATGAGTTCCCGTTACCACTTAACACAAGATGGACCGTGAGCTTATTCTGGCGTCTATGTTACACATTACGTCGGTGCAAAAATAATAATAATAACTGGCCTACTGATCGCATAGCATGGCATGAGTAGTTCCTTGTAGAAATAAAAATATATATGGTATTGCCGATGCGAACTTACAATACAGCCTATCTCCTGATTTTTTAAATAAGGACTAGAAAAGTAATAACATTCCCAGAACAACTAAGGTCATTTTCGTATCGATTCCAACAGTTTCACTTCGTAAGCAACAAGAATAACACTACTAATGTAAAACATACACATTCAATACAAAATCACAAGCTCGACTTCGATTCTAGTTGAAAGCTTTTTTCCATAATACTCTTAGATTATAATAATAATTAATCTTCCTATTCCCCCTTCGCCCAACCCTCTTGTAAATCACATGTTGGCGTATGCTTGTTCATATCAAAGCACGTAAGTATGGGTTATGTCCCCCTAACGACACGAGCACACCCGACAACGAAAACAGCCTTTA